AGGGAATCAAGTTCCGTTCCAATCAATCCATAACAATAAAAAGAAAAGGCAGCATAAAAGCAAAGCTGGTGTTAAAGATTAAAAAGAATGGAAAGAGGTTTATTTGCCAATGTAACTGACATGAGCAGGACTCTGTAATTGCAAAGCTACCACCGATTGTTAGATATGTTCAATATTAACTGATCCAGGCCAAACGAAGCTTCTATAATTCATAAGTCTTGGCTATTTCATAGATGTAAAAACTTGAAAACATTACAATATTCTATTACAAGACCCTACATAGATGCAAAAGGAAACACAAACCTGACCTGCAAGCAGTCACACAAAATCAAAACCCAAATAACAATTTAGTCCTACAAAACTGAATATAAATGTCTATAACCACACCACGGCTGCAGCAGCTCAGAAATGATTTTTATCATGAAACTACATATACTATGGGGCAGACCAGACCAGGCAGGGCTGCAACACCTGTGGGCTTCATGTGAGCTAGATCAGGGAAAAGCCAGGCTGGTGCAAGCATAGTTTAGAGTGGGTGAGGGTTGGTTGGGTTGTGCCGCAGCATCAGCTGGCAGAGACTGGCTCTGGGGGCTAAATCTCTCAAGTTAAACTCTTGAACCACCTGGAGAGTGCATAATTGGGGAGTGGGAGTGGCCTAAGAGGGAAATAGTGGGCACATCCCTCTTGGGGTACCACTGCCACTGAACAGCAGGACAACCAAGATTGGGGCAGGGGTGGCTAGTCAGAAAGGCATCTGTCAGTGTGTGTGTGTGGGCTGGATAATAGGGCAGGTTGGGTTGAACTAGGCTTCAATGTGCATTGACATGTGCAAGAGCTAAATGGGATGTGGGACAGACTGAACAAGTCGGTGGTACATACTGGCAAGCATGGGAACCAGGGTAGAGGGCAGGCCTGGTAGGGGTTATGTGGAGTCGCCCCAGCTACGCTGCAGCTCCCACTGGTTTGTGTGAGGGCTGAGTATGAAATGGGCAGGATTGGGCTGGACTGCAACACTCGCTGCTTCGCGTGGAAGACAGGGCTGGAAAGAGAACCGACCCAGCAACTGCCACGAACAGCATGTGCATAAGTTGATTGGGGCGACGGACGGACGGTGCCAGACCCTGTACTGGCAAGCACATACAAGAATCAGGTCTGGGATCACCTCAGATGAAGTTTCTGTGGAGAACCCTCCAACTGAACTGCTGATCTCAGAACCCCAACCATGAAGAGACTATGTCAGCCAGTGGATTCTGAAGAGAATTCATTGTGCTTGTAGCGGCGATACTGGCAGCAATTCAAAACTGTTGAACTATCAAAACTGCTTGAGCAGGACCCTCAGAGCATGCCCAACGTTGGGGACTTGGGATGGATGGGAAGCTGGATGGGGCTTCTCCTTTTGTTTCTCCTCTGACCCCAGAAACAGAAAAAAAAAAAAATTAGTGTGGAAACAATGGTCTTACCCACTTTCCTGTAACCCTTGACCCTTTGTGCCCTGATCAACTATGTAAGATTATCAAAATAAATAAATAAATATATATATATAAAAACAATGAAAGTACATATACTTACATATATTCTACACCACAATAGACATCTACTCACTCTACTTGAGTGCTTATATATGCCTAACATAATATCAGAAGTTTAGGGCCCCGGCAGCGTGGCCGAGCGGATAAAGTCCTTACCTTGAACGCACCCCAGGATCCCACATGGGCGCCGGTTCTAATCCCGGCAGCTCCACTTCCCATCCAGCTCCCTGCTTGTGGCCTAGGAAAGCAGTCAGGACGGCCCAATGCTTTGGGACCCTGCACCTGCGTGGGATACCTGGAAGAAGTTCCTGGCTCCTGGCTTCGGATAGACATAGCATCGGCCATTGCGCTCACTTGGGGAGTGAATCACTGGACGGAAGATCTTCCTCTGTCTCTCCTCCTCTCTGTATATCTGACTTTCCAATAAATAAATAAATCTTTAAAAATATATATATATGTACCTATATATATCAGAAGTTTAGAATTAACAAAAGTCTGACTTGTAAAACAGAGATCAAAACGTATTAGCCAGATCATATAGGAAAAGTTCCAAGTGGAACATCCCATAACATCTCGCATACAGTGAGTGCTGGACCACCTCCTCCCCTAGATCCTAAAATCAGTCTCTTCCTTAGCTAGCTACTGCTGCTGCATCACTCACTGCTTTGAAATACAGTATAATGCCTTCTATTTTTCTATGCTTTCTATTTTCTATGTAACTGAATCTACAAACTGCTGCCACATTAATCCCTCTACTATACAAATCCACCATCACTTGCCGGCTTTAAAAAAAAAAAAAAGACAAAGAAAGCTCAATTTATCTCTCCTAATTAGTTGAAAAATCTAGCATTTAAGAATTGGTACACTGCAGCTCCCACTGGTGTATGCGAGGGCTGAGTATGCGCTGGGCAGAACCAGATTGGAGTGCAACACCTATTGGTTCCAGTGGAAGTCGGGACTGAAAATAGAACCAATCCAGCAATTGCAACCACCAGCTGATCAGGGCGATGAACTGTGCCGGGCCCTATACTTGCTAGGACATACAAGAATCTGGTTTGAGAACACCTCAGACAAAGTTTCTTTAGAGATCTCCCCAATCAAAATGCTGGACTCAGAACCCTAACCAAGAAAAGAGAAAAGGCAGAACAGGTCAATCAACCATCTCAGCTATATCTTAGCAGCGAAATACGGGGCAAACAGAGACTGTATGATGGACTATGTCAACCAGTGGATTCTTCAAAGACCTCATAGTGCTTGGAGTGGCAAGAATGGCAGCAATTCATAACTGTTGAAATATCAAGCCACCTTAGCAAGAACCTCAGAGCATACCATACATGCGGGACCTGGGGAAGGTGGGAAATTGGGTGGACCTTCTCCCTTAATACCCCCTTTAAACATGAAGGAAACAACATGGGAGAAAAAAAATGTGTTACACAGAAAAAAAAAAAAAATGAGACCATTCCAAAAACAAAGAATCAATACAATGTCCGAGGTCCTTAAGAGTACACACCAACTGCTCCTGCGTTACATGCACAGCCCGCATGTCCCATTGTTTTCAGACCTGAGCAGGTGCTCGTTCTGGCATCCTGTGTCCACCCGCAAAGGACCAGCTCGCTGTGCAGAACATGGCATTTTTCTGCACATCCTAAGTTATACTGTCTCCTTTCGAAACCCCAAGGCACTCTTCTCAGCAGCGTGGTCTGAGATGCAGGCCGTGGAGTGTCTCCCTGACAGGTTCCTTGACAGCAGGGCCTGTGGTCTTATTTCTTTTAATCTTTTTGAAGTCGGCCTCATGATTGGGAACTCAGATTGTTCTAAAACACGAATATCTAAGGGACACATTGAGGCAGGAGGTCACAGCACTGAGATGTTAGTTTATATTGATGTTATTCATGCAAATACGGAGGAGGGCATTATGCTGGAATTGATCAGTTCAGTACTTTGTAACCTTTCAAGTAGGCAAGAAACCAGACCTCACTTACATGGCACAGCCTGCTTCTAGAAACCCAATCAACACATTGATAAGGTAAGATTTCTGAGAAAAGAATTTGCGTAAAAGAACAAATGCTTCACATTAGCTTACACATTTCCACTAACTTAGATGACCAGGTCTCAACCCAGAGCTCTAGAATGGTAACCCAGAGTACAAGTGCAAAAAGGCACAAGGAAGACAGACAAGGTGGTAATGGGAGAGGACCCTTGCTTCCAAGGCTGACACGACTTAACTCAGTTAATATGCCTCACTTTAGCTTCCCACTGGATAAGTGCTACGGTCCACTGGGTTATTCCTAATGAGAAAGAGTGAAAGATACCAATTATCTATATTATTTTTTTAAAGTTTTATTTATTCCTTATTGCAATGTCAGATATAGAGAGGAAGAGAGACAGATCTTCTATCTGCTGATTCACTCCCCAAGCAGCTGCAATGGCTGGATCTAAGGTGATCCAAAGCCAGGAGCCAGGAGCCTCCTATGGGCTTCCCACACAGGTGCAAGGTCCCAAGGTTTGGGCTGTCCTTGACCGCTTTCCAGGCCACAAGCAGGGAGCTGGATGGGAAAGCAGGCCCACCTGGATCAGAACTGGTGCCTATATGGGATCCTGGTGTGTTCTACAGCGCCAGGCCATCCCAATTTTATAAAAAAAAAAAAAAAAAATTTAATCCCATACACCTGCATACAAGAAAAGACTCATATTCCAGGGTTATTTTCAAAGTTTCAGAATAATAATGAAAACAGTAATGAAAACAAACCTTCAACGAGAAAATCTGGAAGGATGAAGAAAAGTAAATAGAAGCAGAGGCAGAAAAACACCCTTTCCCATGAAGCATCACTGCTCTGCGAATCACTGACCTAACACTTCAAATCCAAATAGAGTTGTAAAAAAAGCACCGCAGTAAACAGTAAGAAAAAGACCAGTACATTTTTCTCCAAGTTGTGTCTGGGTCTCTTGTCTAACAAAATTAATGTAAAATTCAAGCAGCGGGGATATGAATAGCAAAAATCTGTACAACTTTTGACAGTGAGAAACCAGTAAATCAGGAGTACAGACATCCTTCTGGTAGTTGACCTAACCTCCTGTGGGGATTTTACTGCACACGGGCTTTTCTCCAGGAGCACCCACCCTTGCGTCATGACCTTTCAAGGTCCCTTCTTGGACAGGTGACTTTGGAAAGCAAACCATCACTTTAGTTCTTCTTAGCTTCCTGCTCAGATCTGGATTCACCACACCATGGTGTTGGTGGCTTGAAGGTAACTAGTTATCGTAGCTCATTTGGACCATATCGTGCAGCAACTGTGAGAATTCTAAAAGTGTTTGCTAAATTTGCAGGAGGGAAAGTGGATATTTCTGAGAAATACTAACAACTAATTCAGATGAAGTTCTCTTTCTCCTCTGTACCCTTCGCAGCAGGGACAGCTCAGGAGGGCTCAGTGTCACCACCGTGTGACTCAGGACAGAGTCCACGTGTCTTACCTGCTGACGCTTTGATCACATATCCTCCCCTGTCCTCCCCAGCAGGCACCGCGAGCAGCTGCATCACTCTGTCCAGCAAGCCGTGGATGATCTCAAAGCCGGGGTTCTTGTTGTAATAAACAGCACAGAGATGCCTGCAGTTCCGTGCGCCTACGTCTGAAAAGATAAAATAACCGCTTACCAAACCCCCTTAAACTTCAACATTTGAGGCGCTTTAATAAACCCTGAAGACCGCAGCTCTAACACTTTCTAATGAAAGCATGTTGGCTCATTTTGCTTTGGAAATGAGGAAATGGCAAAGAAGGAACTGCTGTCTATCCCGGGCAAGGAGCTGGACAGAGAGCTGCTTCATGTCACACATGCTGAGCACAAGCTCTGCTTTCCTAAGATAGACCAGTGGTTTTTTTTTTTTTTAAATCATACTTAAGATTTTCATTTAAGCTTAATGAAATTAATTTATAAGTCATTTAAGTTCCAGTCACCAAAAGTATTCTAACTTATGGAACGTGACCAGCTGAACTTGTGACTGAGCAGACATGGAAGAAGTAACTCGCTCTTGGCATTCACAATGTTCGAGGTCCTTCTGTAACAGACATCCCTGGATCATGGAAGCCATCCACAGCACAAGACTCCCATAGACTAAGACCTAAATTATTTACTGAATAATTGCCAACAGCACTGTAAAGGAGTCGAGCACGCACAAGCAGCCAGTCCCAGGGCCAGGAGCAGACAGCAGGGCATATTCCAAGGGAGCGTAAGAGCCAGCGGAGCTAAGAAAGTTAGCACCGTACTGCTATCTCTCTCCATCTGAAAGCTACAATCAAAGGTGTGAGAACAAAAATCCACTGAAAACGAGGCAGGCATAAAATCCATTTAGTCAATCACAGGCATAAGCTAAAATGGGGGCCTGATTCCACTGTAAGAAAACAAACTCTCATTTTCTCCACCCCAACCTCCACCTCTCTCCCCCCCAAAGGGAAAAAAAAAATCTAAATGAAACAGAACTAAATTATCCCTTTCATACTACTGACTTGCTTCTGGGTATTTTGACCATGTGGTACCCATTTGTTGGTGTCACATGCTTCCACTTTGACACACAGGCACACACTGAAACTACTTTGTAGTTCTGCTTGGCTGTGAGAGAGCCCAACAGCGGGGCCACCACTCGGTGAGCTTACACACGTACACTTAGAGCTTTATTTTTGTAACCTTTGTCTGGAAATCCTTTTTCTTGATCTCTAAATTATGTAAAACTTATCTTTCTGACAAGAGTGACAGCATGTGGATTATAACCTTAGGATTTTAAAATGCAGTTAAGAGATTTTAGTGATAAGAGTTTAAAAACAAATCTTGAAAAAGTTCATCAAAATGTGTATTATTCATAGTCTTATTTTTTGCATCAAAAACTCAACTTTAGATTCCATTTCTCACAAGCTTTTTGAAGCACCTCACCCTACAAAAAAAATACAAGACTTTAAATAAATTCTGCTCAACTTCATGTAAGAAATGTTTCAAGGCATTTGCATTATGTAACAATGAACTACACAGCTCTTTTTTTTTCCAATTTTATAATATATTTTTTTAAAAAGCCACTAACTTAGGGTGTGATTTAAACCTACCGTAAGGATCAATCCCACCTCTTTATGTCTGTGTCCCTTCCCAACTCCACTGACTAGATAACTTTTCACATTTCCCGAGGACTACTGCTTCCTCAGGTCTACTGTTAACTCCCTCTCCTATAGCTGAACTGAATTAAAGGAGTAAGTAACCATCCATCCATTTCCACCTACTCCTCTCTGGAGAAACTGTTAGGTACAGTAAAAATCCCATTGCCTAGGATTTTGCACTGAGAGAGCATATTACATCACAGGAAGTTCAAGGACTGCACACCACAGAAAAGAACTATTTAAATTTCATGCCAAAGCTAGGGTTTGTTGGAAACGCCTCAGTTCTTTATAACTCAGTTAACAGACCTCTTGTGTCATGCCATCAAACAATTCTGCTTTTTCAATGGGCCTGCCAAGTATGTCAGCCTAAATTATCTATATATTCCACAGACTTCAAAGTACTGCCTGGAGAGGGCTGATGTAAACCACCCCAACAGAGGGCTCATCTAAACCCCCCCAGTGGAGAGCTGATCTAAACCCCCCCAAAAGAGGAGTGACCTGAATCCCAGCCCCCAGCAGAGAGCTGATCTAAGCCCCCAACAGAGGAGTGAACTGAACCCCCCAACTAGCTATGACTGTAAGCTGAAAGAACATGCCCAATGCTTTTGAAAAGAGAAAAAAAGCAAAGCATGGCATAATGTTCCCTAGTAGATGACTACTGCATACAACTAGTTTTGGATTTGGCTCCTGCTTGCTGTAGATTTTCTTTCATTGAACTACTAATGACCAGAAGCCAGGAAAAGATGATTAGTTAAAACATCTGACACAGTGTAAAACGGCCGAGTCTTCAAGACCCCAGGATTCCAGTTCTGTAGTTACCTGAGAATCCAAACAAAGATGCTGCGAGAATTCCTGGAAGACCAAAACCCTTTCTGAGTAATCAGAATCGATATTAGGGACTGATTTTGGAATCTAATAATCAGATACTGATCGTGAACTTGAGATTCACAGTCTAGCCAAGCTCTAAAAATACAACAAATCACCTTGTTTTTTAGATCTATTTCATATAATGAAGTTACTCTGGTACTTAGAAAATTGCAACTTACATTGCAAATTATGCTTAACTCTTAAAAATTTCAACACAAGCCTAAATGATTCACAAAAACTACACAGACTGAATGAGTGTTGCGGGGTGAGTCACAGCACTGGAGTCCTGGTTCCAGCCTGAGCCGGCATCTCTGACCCAGCTCCCTGTTAGTGCACCTGCAAGCAGCACAGGATGCTTCATCACTGGACTCCCTGCCGCCAACGCGGGATACCAGAATGGACTTGCTAGTTCTTGGCTTTGAGTCTGAAAAGAAGCTACAAAAAATCCCTTTGTAAAAGAATTTGACAAGTTGCCAGATATTTAGATGTGTACATCGATGGACTGATTCATTTTACTTCCAAAAATACATATTTGCACAAAGGTACAAAGATTTTCACTGCAACATTTCGCAAGAACCTGGTAAAAATCTAAATACTCATCAACAGTCTGAGTAAATAAATAACAGAGCATGTTGCATGTCTACAGCAGAACGCTATGCAGACATTTAAAGGAGTATAAGGGGGCAGAATGAGCTCAGAGATAAAAACAAGGTGCAGCACAGGATGGGGAAAGTGAAGTTCCATTTGTGTAAAACGAGAGAACTCGCCTCTAGCTGCACGTACACACACATACACTAAGCATACAGTGGCACATGCATAGGAGAGTCTGGAAACTAATTTTAAACACAAGATTAATGACTTTTTTAAGATAGAAAAAGAATAGAATTACTTGAAAATCAAAAATACACTGTCATGGAAGTTTTTGAAGATATTACAAGCATATTTTCAATTTTGACAGCTTTCAATTTTCTTTAAAATGCTTCTAGATTATACTATCAAAGTACAGATTTTTCTTTAAAAAAATGCTAAAAATTCAAGAAACAAATGTGAGGGGGAAAAAAAAAATCAATGACCTTTTCAATGCAAGAGGAAAAAAGTTAGGTCCTTGTAGGTTGGCTTTTATTTAGTTACCATAAACCTGGAATGAATTTTTATCTATTAAAAAAAATACAATATTCAACGCATGACAGAGCACATTATACTCACGTTAACAGATCTTAACTATGTGGAACCAAACATACTAAAATAACTTTCTCTATTAAAAATGATGTATTTACACAGCTAAGATGCCATCGCATATGCGAATGATGCTACTTCAAAAACTGTTCATGTCAATGCTGCTTACATCCATATTTTTTAAATTATTAATTGGAAAATCTACGTGCCAGAAATATGAAATAGTGAAATTAAATTAATCCAGACTGATGACATAAGCTCTCTTCAAAAAAAACCCCATTCCACATGTGGATGCTAGATAATCTTGCATTATTTGAGGGTTCCAGAATTATTGGACAATTTCTTAGAACTGAGGTATTCCATAAGCCCATAATAAGAACGCTTTTTATCAAGCACGGAGTTACACAAAAAACTGTAACGATCGGATCCTATGTTTTCATAGCTCAACAGACAGCTACATGAGCACTGACACACATGTAAGAACAAACCGATGATAACAGTGCAAGCAGTGTATGCTCTGCGGTGGCCGTGGCGCTCGAGGAGGAAAAAGGAGAGAGAATCTTAAATATACATTGCGAGTAAAGTTGTTTTCTTTTTCTTTCTTTTTTTAAATTCCAGATTTCCACATCCAAACTAGGCAGGGTAATGAAATCTATGTCGTTCTTTCCTTCAGGAAAGCTTCAAGGAGAATGTGAAACTTTGGAAAGTGATGAGTGGTGAGGAGTGGGGCAGAGAGAAAACTGGAGCTAGGACTGCAGCTGGAGGAGGCAGGAATGGGCAGGACAGAGCAGCAGGGAAGGCGCGGGGCGCGGGTGTGGGGCGTGGGGCCTGGGGTGTGGGCCTGGAGCCCTGGGCGTGGGGCCTGGGGCATGGGCCATGGGGCCTGTCTGAGGACCTGCAAGAGTCTCCACCAGAGGAGGACCATCTGCGGTAAAAAGCAACACACTGCATTTTTTTAATGTGACGGCTGATCAGACTTCTCCAAAGAAGTGTCAGACTGTTTCCTGCAAAACCAAAGTGGCCTTGGTACTTCACAACACCAACTTCATCCTTCTCAGGCTCTTGTTCCTTTAAAACTTCAACCCACCCAACCCAGTAAGGGGTTTTCTCTTGCTGCCTTGGTGGGATTCTAAGCACAGTGCAAACTCTGGCATTGTGATTGCAGAACTCAAGCTGTTTTTTATATATTTTTTTTAAAAAAAGAATATTGGCATTGCAGAATACATTTGTTTTTCTGACTGCAAAGATTAGTTAACACAATGAGGTCCTTAGCGGCCCCGAACTTTTTTTTACTGCTCTGTTATGATTTAGTTATTTTTGACACTGAACAGAAAAAAACAAAAAGTCTTGACTATTATAAAGCTAAAATATTTATCCCACGGCAGAGTCTGCATTCAACTTCTCATTCCAAACACACATGCCACTCTGCCCAACAAAGGGCAGACA